TAAATTTTTTGATAAGTACATAAATTATATTATATTAGACATAATTGGGTCTAGTCGAGATGCTCCTGTCATTTCCAAGTTTTCTTGTCACAGTTGTGTTGGTTAATTCGACTTTTCGCAAAGTACCTACATGGTGGACGGAGCACTTGCGTTCGACGGTGTGTGGCGCTCTCGTTTGCAGTCCGTTTGTACTGTTCTCGTTTCAACTGTTAAAATAAACTGATTGCAAATTGGAGGCCATTAACACCATCTGATCTGTCAATTGACTGGAAATTCTGCACAGAGTTTCTCACAGTATTTATCTGTTGCTAATAATAATTTTTGTAATGCCGAGTTTGCTACTACCTGTGACGCATCATACCTGTGTGTTGATTGCAACTGTGTTTGCAATGTAACTTAGATTTATGTGCTATCGTAGTGAAACTACATCGTAGATGAAATCCAGTGTTTGTCTCTTGTCTGTAGTTGCTCAAAATAATGCGTTCTAGGATTTTTTGAAAGTGAAAACGGATAGTGTGCTTTTTGCATTCTGGGAGGTGAGACGCGATAAAATGATAGGTCAATTTATTCGAATTGCAAATTTCTAAATAACGCGAAGGTACGAAAGATTGAGACCGTATTATTTTTGTTACTTATTTTTAATTTAATGGTAGGCCCAGCCTACTACTTTTATTTGTCACTTGGTGATGTTAAAATTGCAGATTCTTATGCGCGTGGCTGGTTTTTAAGTATTATTGAAAATGCATAATTAATATTATTATATGATTCATAAGTTTAAGTGATATCAATAATGCAGTTACCCACATGTACTTCCACACTATTAAACCATAGATCTCCGAAAATATTATAATAGAATGGTTGACCTGCATGACTATACACTGTCGCATTTGAATCGAATACCAGATACAGATAGGTACTACTTAAATCAAATTTTGTTAGCAGAAATGACAAGGCAATATTATTGTTCAAGGTCCCAATTTGTTGGTTGACCTTTGTTAGGTGGTTCTGCTGCTATAAATGCGGATGGGAAAACTTTCGGAACCGACGTCAATATTAAAAAATAAAGGTTTTCTAAGCAATCTAGCTGTTAATCTACTTAATACAAAAAAGTGTTCTTATTTGATAATGATCTTCTTTTTTAGTTTAATGTCGGTTCCGCAAAGGTTGTTTGTGTTTTAGCAGCAGGGTGACCCACACTGATGTAACACGACACGGGCGGCTTCAGAACGTAACGCACGACCTGATCATTTTAATCTTGAGCTTACTACCTACTTAAAAGTGTTCAATGCATAATTAAATATAGAAAATCTTAGATTATAGTCAATACGTTGCAATAAACGCCTAAAGGCAAGAAACACATTAGTTTATAGAAAATTATAAACATGCAGAAATATGATATTTTAGCCGCTTTTATTTAATTCATGATTTTATTATATTTTTGTATTATAAAGAGAATAGTGTTTTTATAATTTTTGGATCGAATCGATTTTAGAATGAAGGTATGAAGTGAGCCCCCAGCGAGAGTTAGGTGCAGGCGAGCCTGCGTGTAAATATTGATCTGGTCGACACGCGCCGGGCGCTCCCTGCTAGCGCTCCTTCCTGGCGGACGGTTGTGCTGAAGAGATTGCGATCGCTGGATTGCATTATTTTTGAACGGTAGTCGGTAATCGTAGGTGTCTCTCTTGTAAATAGAACTGTGAAGCTAGCAGCGGGCGCTCCCTGGCGTTACATGTTTCTGTAGAAATTAGTAAAATCTTTGTGATAAAAAAGTTCTTAATAATAATATCATCCAGTAGAAAAACGATGTCTGTGTAAATAATATAATTAATGAGTAAGTGAAAGCTCTATTTTGTTATGGTGATCAAAAAGCGCACTCTCTGTAATGTATCGTTTGCCATATAACCTTAGTTCCGCTCCTCTGTCCTCGACGCACCCACCTCCTTCCTCTCGATTAGGCATTCGATGTAACAATGGAATATTTTGCAATATATTAATATAATTTTATCGCTAAGTGGATCATAAAATAGTAGAGCTGTATATTATTCAGATGTTAAATATTATTATTTCTTTCTTAATGTTTGAACTAAGCATGTAAAATTTAAAATAATAATATAGAATAAAAGATGTTATGATAATTAATTACATAAAATCTTCGTTTGAATAACATGCCTTTTCCTTCCCTTTTCATTAGGATAAGAAAAACACTTTGAATAGATAAAATATTTAACATTTATTCATAAACATTTTTATTTACAAAATATAAAGAAGACATTAACAGTAAACAAGTGCGTTTAAGGAATCTTTTGTTTCTAGTTTTTAAATGTCTTTTAATTAAAAGTTCCCAAAACGCACTAACATCCAATTTATAACTACTCACATAAAAATTTGACACCTCATTCGTAACACTTACGAAATTCTTACATTCAGCACCAGCTTTGCAATGCTTCAGTTCGATTTTCACTAAACAAAACCAAATATAACTTCATGTGATCTCACCTTATTTTTGCCAAATATGGTGAAATCAGGTTGTTTTATACAAATTGAAGTGACAAAGCGAAGTCGTCTTCGCAACACTACAAAAATAAAACCTCAGTCTTTATTATCAAGTCTCCACGTCGCTTCACTTGACATCGTTCCACCTCTCACTTATCACTACGAATGATAACTTAATTATGGAACTTTTGAAACAATATTTTCAAGTTACATTTTACATAGATTCCTAAAACTTCAGTTTACCATGAAAATGGCGCAATAAAAAAATAATGTTTCAAAAAAGTTTCCTATTTCTGTAAATTCATGACGACATTCTTTCTATCACAGCCGTAACTAAGAACACTGAACTTCCGCGCCGGCACAGTCCAATACAGTCTTCAGCTTTACAAGTGTTATCCAAAGCAGTAACCTCAAATATGTAAGAGATACAGGAAAATCCAAATTGTTATTTTTATTTCCTCACTTGATCCCCAAAACAACAAGGGAAAGAAGTAATCTGTCCTAAACAGAATCTGTCATTAACCAAATAAAGGAATTAATCTCCAAAACCAAACAAAACTAATGGATACTGCTACATTTTAGAAATATCCTCATTATGAGCTTGCTCTAAAGTTCTAAACTAGAGAGCCATTTAGAGCAAGGGCGTGTTCACAAGATGCGCGTGCGCCTAGTGATATATTTCAAAGATAAAACTGTTACGTGACGTAGATAGATTCCATAAGTTATAAAAAAATAAGCAGGCGCTTTAGAAAACTGTTATTGTTTTAAAATAAATATTTTTGCATTCAACCTGCAGAAACACGCACCTTTCCTCAGAATATGAGAACGCGCCCTAACTAGTCCTACTCCTCTTCCATATATTTGTACATTCACTACTTTGGTTTCGTATCTTAATTATGACATTTCATACATACACTTCGCGTCCTGTGTTTCTCTGCACACATCTTTATAATTAGGTAACTTAATTAGTTACTTCACATTGACCAGTTGGGGCTACCACATAATATTTCTTGACAGTATACAACACAAACAACATATCAACTTGCAAGCCACAACCTCGCCAATGTTTATTAAATGACTATTTACAATCTTATCTCACTTAAAAATAATCGCCAACTCCGGTATGTAGTTAGTTTAAAAACTCAGTCTTTTTGGAGTTCCGTATAAATAGAATCCTAAAGGAAAATGACACCTTGGATACAGCTGTTAGTCAAATCTAAATATTATAAGTGACTCAGATGCTCTATAATAAATTAAATTAGTAAAATGGCACATACTTCGCCTTTTACTATTCGTTTAATTTGAATTTCTTAAAAATATAAAGCATAACTGCATATAAATTAGTAAATGTTTATGACTTCTAATTTTAGGTAGGAGTACTGAAAAGAAAACACTAAAGTAATCCAAAAAGATTGAGCTTTGTGTAAGTAGCCCTTTTGCCTAAAATCTAAACCAAATGTAATATACATTTAATTTAATAAGATAATGATAAAAAACAATTGATTAGAGTAGCCAATAAGTACTATCTGATTTTAAACTTTTCAGCATAATTATTATTATGACAATTTAAAAATTATGAAATGAAATTACCATCAAAGCGATACTACAACAATTAATTATAATTAAAGTCCTGTAATGGTCACAATTTTCTTCACTTTTACTTGCTTCAAGGCGAAAGATCTTGCTTGGGGCACTTTAAAGTTTGGTGACCGCATCATAAAAATAAAGTTTAAAAGTACGCGCTGCGTCATCCACAGTCATTTGGAGGGAAAAAGAGCTGTCAAAATGTTACTGGCATTGGAACACGAGGTTTTGGGATAACGCGACACGACACCGGACACGGAGGTATTTGGTTCAATAGAGTTTACGCACGGGTTTTTTCACTCGTTGAAATACACTAGACTTTATCATCGTCGAGCCTACACACAAATCGACACTCAATTGACCCATTAGTGGTCAGAGACATGTTTTATAATGGCCAGGTTTTGCGGCTGGATATTTTGAAATTGTTGCGACTGGCCTTGCTGCAGGTTGCCCCGCAAACGTCTTGTCTTTCAGTCGACCACTGAGTTGAAGAGTTCAGTTGCGCACATCAAGGTCAGTGGCAAAAGCCTGTGTGGTCACGTGTGAGTTAGGTTGACGCCAATTGGCCAGAGCGACTAAGCGCTCTACTGGCAGAAGACCGTTGTAAAAAGTTCAGCTGCTTTCATAGAGGCCATCAGTGTGTGTATTTCAGCATCACTTCGGTCCCGAACTTTGCTACCACTCGACACGTTAGTTGAGAGATTGTCAGCTGACCGTGTATAGATTCGATTGCCATTGGTCAGAGTGCATCCTACACCGCTGTAAAGAGTTCAGTGGACTTCATAGAGGCCAATGCGTGTATTCAGCACCGTTGGCCAGTCACGGGCGCCAATCATCGGCGGGCTACCGCTCGACACGTTAGCTGAAAGATTATCAGCTGACCAAATCTGTCCATTCAGGTTGCCATTGGCCAGAGTGCATCATACACCGCTGTAAAGAGTTCAGTGGACTTCATAGAGGCCAGTGCGTGTATTCAGCACCGTTGGCCAGTCACGGGCGCCAGTCGCGCTCGGTGGGCTCCCGCTTTACATGGTAGTTGAGGCAAGGCTGGAAGTTGACGTGGATAGTGACGGGGTGAAGTGGCGCGGCCAAAGCGGCGGCGCGCGCGTCGAGCACATCGTACGGGCCGAGTTGCCGCGCTAGGCACGCGTATTCCACGCTTAGGGGGACGTAGTACTTGCCTGAGGAGAACAGATGTAATTATTACTATTTATTTCAAACTTTAATGCACATAGAGCAGTGTACGTAAGGCGGACTTAATGCCTTTCAAAATATTCCTCCAGTCAACCTTAGGGCCAAACTAAAAATAAAGTAGACGGTTTAAATTATAATAAAACTAAGATTCAAAATAGACCAGTTTTCGATTTGAATATGAGAATCTCTTGCCAGTTAAGAATGACGTAGGTAGACGGGCAGCGCAGGACCGTTCATTGTGGAAAACCTTAGGGGAGGCCTTTGTCCAGCAGTGGACGTCATTTGGCTAGAACAAATCAACGAACGAGCTAGGTAGGTCTGAAAATTCTTTGGATTTTAAAATTTTCAAGGGACTTGCGTTTTGGTCCAAATGCTGTAAATGGGCAATATGGGAATGCCTACTCTGAATTCCTTTGGGGAGGAGGCCTGATGTTCGTAATTTACAGCGTCCACTGAAATAGTGAGGGTGATCCCTAACCACGAATAAGTACCTACCCAAATAGATAAAAGAAATCTTACCGAGAGCGTTGAGCGCAAACACCGGCACATACTGCGCGGGCGGTAGTGGCTTCTCGTAGTGGTTGTGGTGGTGCGGCGACTCGCTCGACGTGTCCTGGGGAAAAATAGTCCAGTTTTAGCCTGTAACTTATTAGCAATCTGTGATAACTCTGTCGCAAATGTTACTTCGTCCAGGAAGACTCATCACGAATGTTACAGTGACAAGAGGGGACTCTTTATGTAGAGGAGATCCCACTTAGTCCCCTTTATTGTAGGGAAACTACCTGGAATGTTACTTCTTTTAGTTACACTCTAGGGCATTGGTTCCCAAACTTATTTGAGACGCGCCCCCTTTCGACCATACAAAAAATTCTGCGACCGCTGAGGAAATGCATTCCATACTGCTCGGTACGACCAATAAATAATCTTGACTGGAGGCTCCTCCTCCGGAATTTTTTGTATGGTTGTAAGGGGGCGCGTTTCAAATAAGTTTGGGAACCAATGCTGTGGGGGGGTCTCGGTCACGAATGTGATCTTATTTTCTTATTTATTAAGAAACTCAACAGCCAAGGGGACTATGTCACAAGTCTCATTGTGCGTTTGTTCTCATTGAACGTTGCTTTGTCTAGCTAAGAGGACTCTACCATAATATTACACTCTCAGATCATAGAATCCCTTCTATGATCTGAGATTACACTGGGCAGAAGGGGCTAATGAGGGCTATCGTTTTAGCGCTCACCAGTTAGCGCCATTGTAGAGTAAGATCCTGTCACTTGCTAGTAGCGAAGACAGTGGCACCAACTGGTGAGCGCTAAAGTGATAGGAGGACCATCGCATTTGCACTCATCAAGATGGCGCCACTGTAGAGTAAGGTCATGTCAATCGCCAGGGGTGCCAACTGTTAAGTATAAAAACGATAGCCCTCATTGTAACACTGCTTGCCACTGACCTGCGGCGAGGTGTCCCTGGCTTCCTCGGTGGAGCCCGAGTTGGAGGTGGAGGTGCTGGGCGCGGGCGGCGGCTTGGCGGCGCGGCGCCGCTTGTTGTACGCCTTGTGCGGCGCCGCGCCGGTGCGGGCTTGCTCGGCGGCCTGAGGGAATAAGAGCTGTCGAGGGGTTAGATTTGGTAAGATTAAACGTTCACTGTCAATATATTCTTCAGTTTGATCATTTCTATGACTTGTGGGATTTAAAACAATAAAGAAGAAAGGCAGAGAACATCGAATTGACATAGATACCTAAATAGGCACATAAAATATCTTTTAGGTAAAAGATGATTTTTTTAATATTTCGTTAAAAACTACTAGTTTTTCCCGCGGCTTTGCATCTTTGCGTCGGCGTCGCAGAAAGTGCGAGTCCCTCTTCCAAAACCCGAGACAAAAACTATCGTTTGTTTTACTCTGGGTCTCAAACTATCTCCCTAGCTCTATGCCAATCATCTTGAGCGTGAAAGAGTAACAAACATGGATGGGGATCCATACTCCAAACATTCACATGTAATAGTAAGTTGTTTTACCTTATATTACTAATAAGGCGCGATTCGACCAAACTTTTATCCGAGAATAACTCCTGGTATAACTGGCATATTGACAGTATCAGTATGGGAAATATGTCAAAATGAATGAAGTTTATTCTTAAGTTAAAAGTTATCCGACGATGGTAAAATCAGCCCTAAGGAGCATGGATACCTAAGTATAATTTACCTCTGAGTCCTGCGACCTGGAGAACCGCCTCTCGATGGAGTTCTTGAACTTATACGAGTGTAGGTAGTCGTCGGCGTGCTCGCGGCGCACCGTCCGCAGCGTCGGCTCGCGCTTGCGTCGCGCGTCGATGGGCTCCTGCGCCGGCGCCTCGCTCGAGCCGTTGGTCAGCGACATCGGGGTGGCGGGCACTGGAACCAATGATATGGAGGTTAGTTGATAGAGGCAATATAGAAGATGGATAGCGTAGATGCCATAGAAGTCACGCTTCAACTGTGCCCAGTTTGGGTAGAAGAGAGCGCAGACCCCCTGCATTTTTCAAAGCGTGTGTTAAAACCTCTTCCTTCTCCCGGTCATAGTTAGTCCGTTGCATGACGTAGAGTAGTGACACGCTGATGTGTTGCACGCTGTCACAGCCAGTAAACGAGTTAATCACCATCTTCTAAATAATTATAAAAGGAGAAACTGACTTAGTGACAGATCAACGCACAGCCTAAAACGACTAAACGTAGGAACTTGAAATTTGGAAGGGACGTAGCTTAGGTACCGTAGAGGTGCGCTAAGAAAGGAATTCCCGAAATTCCCACGGGTACGGGAATTAGTGGGAAAATCCTTTTGTATGAAAAATCTAAACCGCTTAAGATAGACGCTTGAAATTTGGCATGCAGGTACCTTAGTAAACTTAAAGCTTGGTTACAACTGGATATTGCAAAACTTCCAAGGGAACGGGAGTTAGCGGGATAAAACATTTGTATTAAAAAATCTAAACCACGTAAGATAGACGCTTGAAATTTGGCATGCAGGTACCTTAGTAAACTTAAAGCTTAGTTACAACAGGATATTGCAGAATTCCCACGGGAACGGGAGATAGCGGGAAAAAACATTTGTATGAAAAAATCTAAACCGCGTAAGATAGATGAAGGGGGTAAAACGGGATCCACGCGTACGAAGTCGCGGGCGGCCGCTAGTACCTAATCTATAAAGGTCACGGGATGCGGGCAGCACTGGACCGGTCGTTGTGGAATTCTTCGGTAGAAACTAATGCCCAGCAGTAGACGATGTTTTCGGCTGAAATGATGTTGATGGATGTTTGAAGTAGCTACCTCTGTCACAGTCCATGGGGTAGGTGTGCTCCTGCGGCCGCTCCGGCTCGTAGTCAGCAGGGTAGGGCGGCGGCGCGGGCGGCGCCTGGATCACGCCCGCCTTCACGCCGTATCCGTGCGAGCTGCTGGAGGAACTAGCAGTCTCTGATGATGAGCCCGCGTGCGAGCGTAGTTTGTCCCGGGGGATGGACTCGCCTGGAAGATTGGGGGTTGAGTTGATAAGGTGTGTTGGCATCTTTACTGAGTAAAATATCCTGGCTGCACAGGAGTTGCGGGGCAGCGATAGGAACAAAGAGAATAGCTAAAGTAAACTTGCAACTGAACTCTCTCAGAACTTTTTATCTGCTAAATTACTTAAATCAAGGTTTACGGAAGAAATATTAAAAGAATTTAAACCTTAGGCCTCTTTATTAAAAAAACTCTCGGCTGTACGTGAACTTCACTTTTAGTTTAGACTTTTTTGGCGTTACAAAGGTCATGGTTTTGCTTCGTCTTTTTTCAGGCGAGGCCTTATTTTGTGCCTAGGGATTCAAAACTTCAAACTAAAGACTAACGAACTCAAATAACAATCTCACCTTTGGTAACAGCGTCGCAATGCCTCTGCAGATGCGTCGACAGCTGGTTGCACAGGCCGTCAGCCGCGCCGTACCCGTGGCCTTCCACGAGGAACCTGACGGCTTCGGCAGCTGCCTCCTGGTAGCCGGCCCTGAAGTGCTCCTCCGCCGCTTGCTGCTCGGCCGCTACAACAGAACCCAGCGCCAAGATGCAACAACTCTAGCGCCGACTCAACGCTAGCCTTCGCAAACCCTTGAGCACATTTGTAAACACCGGAGCACACTTAAAGTCCGAGGTAACTGTTGGAACAGATCTTCTTTGGTGAGTAAACGCTGGACCGCTTGCGCAAACGCTGGACGTGTCTTTATTCAATAAGATGCAAGAAGAAAAAGTTTGGTGCGAGTATCTTGGGAAATTTTGAGGTTTAGCATAGAAATCGTAAAAGAAGCGAATTTTATGAAATATGGATTTGAAAGAATTATATTGAATGGAATTTGGTGGAGAATAAACAACCACAAGAACTCTACAATCCTGAAAAACTTTCACGAATGACTTGCCCTTTCTCTATAAGTTATTAGCAGTTGAGAATACAAATGACAACTAAGGATTAAGTATGCAATGCACAGTTACATTATTAGAGGTCAGTCACGTAGTCCCTCATTCTTGTCATTTACCTACTCGTACCGAAAGCGACATACCTATAGCCAGAAGTATTAACAAAATATTCTTGGTATCTTCTTGCTGGTTTTCTTCTCCATCGTCAGCGTCAACAGGTTCTTCTCCAACAAGTAGACGACAAATTTTTGAATCGAATATGGTAATATTGCCCTATTCCCTTGGCTTCTCCCATACAATAACTTTCGCGCCAGCAAAGCAAAGAAAACCATAAGTAAAGCGTAATTTTGACGAACAACCACAACGAAAGATACGAACAGAAAAGTTAAAATCAAATTTAGATTAATAAAAAGCATTTTTCAACAGTGCTTTGAACATTTAGTTTAAGAACATGAGTAAGAAACTCATGTGGTTAAAGTCTTTAAAAATATTTCTAAATGCCCAAAGCACTACCACACCTTTTTTATAAAGGCAGGTTTAATAAACTCATGAGTAGGTATAAAAAAAACTTGTAAATTGCATTTCTGAAACAGTCGGTAAAAATGTATTTATTCTGAAACAATGAAAATACATCAGAGCAGTGCAGCCGTTGACAGAAATTATTGAATAATCCTTTATTTACTTACATTTTATGTTGTTAAATAATAAAAACAAATAAAAGACATCTGAAACGATCAATCGATGACTGTGGCAGGCAACGATGATTGTCAGGTTTCTTTGGTCCGTTGTGATGTTGTGGCTGAACGCGAGACGCGAAAGCCAAAAACAATGCGTAAACCCCCCCTCGTGTGTTAGTTGTCAAAGGTTTACAAATTATGCTCACTGGTAAGGGTTCGATAGCACTTAAGTATTCTGAGATCTTTACAGAAAATACTAATAAATCAAGATATCCCCAAGAATTTTGGTAATTTCTGTCATAAATCTTAAAACATTTAAAAGCCTGAAGACTGTCGTCATCAGAAGTCGACATAAGATATTTTACAAAAGACTTGACAATGGATTCTTAAAGTTTTGTGAAAACCAAATTAAAAATGTTTTTCAGAAACTTCACGGTCATTTGAATATTTAAACTAAAATAATTAGAAATAAAATATGTAATAACAATAAAAGGGGCAATAGTAGACGCGGATGTCATTGAACAAGCAGCGAGAGTCGAATTTTTTTACGAGTTATTTTTTAACAGATACTACAAAATAGAAAAAGTATTTAAAATGCATAAATTAGAAATGTAGATAGTTGGGTAGGTACTAGTAAGTAGTTACCAACAGCAACTGGTGTGTTTGTAGGTAGGTACCATTAAGTACTACCAGTACTACATACCTACTTCTAAGATTTTCGGTTAAACAACTTCAATGACAACATGGAAATTACGTGGGTTAAAATTAGTACAACTACCGTCAAAAATAACTGTAGAAATACTTGTTAAACCATTGAGTAACTAGTTAAGTACTTACTTACTTAGTTAAAACACAACAAAATGAAAAAGTTAAAATAAAATTTCAGACAGCTCGCTTGCCAATGACAGCCTACCATTGCCCCTCTCGTCATCATACCATTATAATTCGTTTCCGAGGTGGTACAAACCATTGGCTTTGTCCTGGAGGTACTTGAGGTGCCTGATGGCCATCTCGATGATCTCGGTCTTCTCGACCCTCCCGCGGCCTTTCTTGAGGTACTCGGGAGGGATGAGGCGCGAAAGGTCGGCCAGGCAGTTGTTCATTCGGTCCCGGCGACGCTTCTCGATTATTCGGTGAGACATCGGGTCTTGCTGAAGGGATAATGTATAGTTAGATTTAGCTCATGGAACTGGAACATGGAAAGCATTGGGGGAGGCCTATGTTCAGGCTTCAGCAGTGGACGTCATGGCTGAGACGATGATGAAGATGATGATGATGAGATTTAGCTCTCTTTAAAATTATGATTCGTCTCAAAAATAAAGAATTTTAATAAATAGTGATGAATGACAATTTCAAAGATTTCATCCAGTGTTTCTCGAGCAACTTGCAAATTGAGACTTCAATTTGAATTAATTGTGTAGGTAAAATAAATAGTGGTAGACCTACCTATTATTTCATGTCAATATAATAATAACCATCTCTTTTAATTCTTCTACTAGTCACGGACGTTCAAGTGGTAGTGCAAGACAGGAAGTATTTTCCTCAAATTTTCTTTTTTCTTTATTATTTGACAATTATTATCGGGTGACCATACTTTTGGTAAATTTCGGGACAAGTCCCGTTTTTTGTCGTTTGGGCTGATTTTATTTATAGTAATTTAATGCACGCGTTTCATGAATCAATGCATCTTTAGATGTTACTAAGAAATAGTAATTTACAAGCGGCTAACATTGTGTGATATTACAGCTTTTTTTCATTTTAATTAATTACAGATTTTCAGTTCTAAAAAATTAACAGAATTAAAAAATCATATTCGTTATGTCAGACGCTTGCTCGTTGCTAAAACTAAGCTAACGATCTAATAAAAATAAAAATCGGGCATATTCAGTGTGACTTGCCCTCGAGACCTTCCCCTTCTTGAGGTAGGTGCCGGGCGGGTACTCCGCTTCGTCCTCCGACGGCGCCGCTGCAAAGTTGAGTTGCTCCGCCACTCGACCGAAGCCATCGCTCGAGTTGTAACTGAAAGAAGAAAAAAAACATTTTAGATGCAGTTTTTTTAGGACATAACTTGACTTAACCTTGGTCAGTGCAGATTGCACCCGAACTTAAAATTGAGATGATGAAATTCTTCTTCTTATTCGTCACTACACCTTTAACAAAGTGGTCGTGGTCGTCACGGGTGACGCAATAGGTGTCAATTAATAATTAAGGCTCAGTTATCTACCCAATAACAAAATTGATAATTTTAATCGAAAACGTTGAAACCGAAGAAGTTTCATAATAGATAATATAATTTGACTCTTTTGTATTGTCATAGTCTGGGTTCAAATAAGTTGCATTTTTTGTTGATTTGCTAACTGAAGACTCTATTAATGTTATTAAAAAATTCTGTTAGTATGTACAAAACCTACCTAAAAAAACCCAAGACTTATTTGTGGTTCTGGTTGTGGATATTATTATACTTGGCTACATGTACACATTTACAAACAATAGCCAAGGCAATCCTTTGTACAAAAATAGGAGTATGTTTAGCTAATAGGTTGGAATATCGCTGCTTCCAGGCTTTTTTTTTCAACTTGATTAAAAAAGCCGTCTAGCTTGTGCCTGGTCTATCCAATGAATTATTAGATTCTCCGTTCTATTTTTCAATCACTAGTGGTGAGTGATCAATTTGGTCAATTTAGTTTCATTGCTTGAATTACAATATTATGAAGTAAGGCAGATTGATTTATTTTTGTATTTGCAATTGTAACGATATGATGTTACAACAATGGCATTGGCTTTAAATACAAATTAAACTAAGTTAAGATTGCTTAAGAAAATTCAATTTTCATCAAGCGGATGTCTCATCTATCTAGATTAGTTTGTGTAATTGGTTCGAAGTTGTATTTGATGTTGGTTTTGCGTTTGACGTAGGCTGTTTATTCCAGAGAGATTAAACCTCAGTCTATTACCCTTGAGCAAAATTTGACATTTAGTCTTAATTCAAAATCTGCGGGCGATAAGCCTAGGTATATACACACCTATTTATTATGTACGAGCAGATTGTCATGTGTGCGAGCACGTGAGCGCGGAATGTAAAGTGGTGAAACGGATTCGAAGGAAGCTCAAAGTTCGGCACATGTGGCAAAGAAACGTGCGACTATCAACCGCCGTGACTCAAACTAGGTGTTTGATTGGTTTATTTTGAACCAATTTGTATAAATATTTATATAACTACTGTGTGCCTACCATGAGTTTACGTTAGGTGTGCTCGCTAGCGAATACGTCAAAAAATTATATGAAGATTTTATTTCTTGAAAGTAGCCGCTAGGGGCGCTGCACAATATGTCATACATTTAAATGTCATTTTTTACGCAGTCGCTAGCGAGCACACCTAACGTAAACTCATGGTAGGCACACTGAACGTGGTGGTTGTGCTGGTTGTATCCACATTTAGACTTTGGGACTGATAAGACGTGTTCTTTACGCTATTTTTTGGTCATCTAATAAAATATAGAGCTGGCATAACTTAAACTCAATCTAATGAAACAAAATTATTTTACATGCATAATGCATTCAATTAAAATGTTTTAATAAACAGCATAATTGAAGATAATCTACGAGCACCGGGCACCCAATCCCAATCCCAAATCCAGTAGCAGGTTCTGCTCTACATAATTAATTATGTTATAGGTTATCATCTGAGTAAGTGGATAAAGATACAGACCAATTTACCAAGTAATAATTAAAAACTATCGTACTCTTTTTTTTACCTAACTAATATAATTAACAAACTATTTTTCTCACTGCGCACTCACTTTCAATTTATCTAAGGTGAGGTGATACAATATGACCTACAAATTGCCTTCGTCAGAGCTCGTCACCGACACCGCGTCAAGGTCACGCGTGCGTTGTTTTGTTTGCAACTGCAACATGACATCCAGCCCCTGTCCAAGCCCGCCATTTTGTATGCCGGATCCGATCCGGGGTTTTGTCCGCCGACGGCAGTAGCCGGGCGGATCGCGCCCCGCGTTCACGTTCACTCAAAATTTCAGTCGATTTTTTGTTAATACAAATGGATATAACCAGAAAACTGACGAAAGCCTTAATAGAGATGTATTTTGATAAAAAGTGTTTGTGGCAAGTGCATTCTGAGGAATACAAGAGGCGTGATTTGAAGAAAAAAGCGTATCAAGATATAGTAGCGTTCCTGCGTCGGAACGGAGTCAAGGATGCGAACGTGAAACTGGTTCGCGATAAAATACAAAACATGAGACGTGCTATGAGAAAAGAGAAAAAACGGATCGACGATTCGGTAGGGACTTATAGCCCTACTTTATGGTAATTTGAAGGCCAATTTTATTACTGCACTGGAAGAACTATTATCTGATTGGTATTATTCACTTATTGCCCTTCAATTTTTGGAAAATGACATTACTCACTTTAATTTCAGGTACTACGACCTCCTAACATTTGTTAACCATCGGAATATTCAGAATGAACAAAATAGCTCAAACAGTGATACTACCAGCTGTCCTGTAATCAATATTGACGAAAGTGATGAAGAAGTCACCTTACAAGAATTAAGAGACAACGTTCTGCCAAATGTAAATAAACTAGAACATTACATAAAATATATAATGCCAACTTTGTAAGCAAATTTTTTATAATAATGCAAATGTTTAAAATTATTTTTAGGAGGAGGAGATGCTTGATCTGTCTGTAATTCCACTGCCACCTGCACAGAAAAAGGCATCTCGAATGAAAAACATAAATGATGAGCACAAGGCGTTGGGTATAAGCGTCGCTTCAAAAATGAGGAGAATGGAAGAATATCAGCAGATTTATGCCGAACTTCTTATACAAAAAGTTATAGCCCGGGGTCTTCTAGGCCAGCTCCACCAAAATACGGACATTGTGGACGTGGTGCAGGACAATGATACAGTAATTAGTAGTGAAGAATGAAGCAGCTAATAATAGGGAATATATGCGGATAGTCATTGAATTTATATTTTTGAGGTGTTCTCTTAAATATTGAACAAGAAAGCTGAACGAGTATAAGAATATAGTCTGCATAAAATTATATTCCTTTATTAGTAGAAGTGGAATCCAAGAAACAAATGAACTGTCTCAACTATGTCCAAAAACTTTCATAAAGAAGAACGGTCATCTGTGACCCAGGCCCGACAGAAACGAGACATATCTCAGTTTTTTTGTCATGTCTTAATTAGTTAAATTATATATTTTTTATATTCGAAATCTATGTATAACACCAAAATATTACCCTTTGTTTTTGTTTAGGCGTTATACAAAAACTAATACAAAATGCCTATTTGTCACCAAAATTGGTAAATGTATGCACCTAAATGTCTATTACAGCTGCTATGGAATGTATCTAGGTGACCTGGAGATACAGCCGGATTATACAGGGTGGAAAAAATAATAAGTTACAAAATCCAAAAATTCAATGTTACCAGCTTCCATAATCTATACCCTATTATTGGTACCATTTGAAAGAGCTCGTGAAGCACTTTCAGAATCAGTAACTAGTTTTTCAATATCTTGTATAGTTTAGAAATAATCGAGTGAGATCACTTATTGTTCCATATGTATAACCACCCTGTAATGAGTGGTCCCAGTCGCCGGAAGAAAATTTTTTAATTTTTACGCATCCGGCGACTGGGACCGCGGTCCCAGTTAATTGCGGTCCCAGTTGACGGAATCCTCAGTGGTTAGGCTTTAGCACATAAATCCAAGTCACGTGAAATATTTTTACATGTTTGACCTTCAGGTAGAAAAGCCAATGAATAAGTAGATACAAATTCTGAAACTGATAACATAGGATATTAAGTAAACTAAATATTATTAAGGCTAAAATTCCTTACGATTCCATGTTTGTTATCAATAGAAGAAAATGTTCTGAAACGATGTTTTTGCATTTAATTTTAATCATTCGATACTCATTATCTGAAAGTAAGATAAAAATAAAAGTTATTTTTAAAAGTCGTTTTCTGAAAGTCTCTGAGGTCTCGTAAAGTGCGTGTGTGTTTTCACTCATTATTATTATTTCCCTCTCCTATTAAAGTAAAATATTATTATTATTTTTAATCTGGTGAAAAATAGTAAATTTAAAAATAGAACACTAAAAACAAATGAAACTCACGAGCGTAACGGCAGCAGCATCTGATCGATTGACACCTTGAAGGTCGGCGGGGTGAGCAGGACGTTCATGGCACTGATCACTAGCCGACTTCCGAGGGCATAACAAGCAACACTTATTGGATAAGTGAGTGGGCGCGTGACAACTGACGCCCCGAGGAGTTCCGTACACAATGCTGGATGTCGGACACGCTTCTGAATAACGTACAAGTGTGAGGTGACCATGCGATCGAATTTTTGCGGAAATTGCTTTAAATTTTTCTTAAGCGTTTACCTACTTGTTGGGTATTTGTTGATTGTTATTTACCTACTTGTGTGATGTGTTAGCCGAGGGAAAAGGTAAGATAAATTAGTTTACCAATACAGTCTAGTAGACAATTGTAATTTTTGTATATTTTATGCATACAATGTGGTTATCATCTCCTAAAGACGTCATTTCTCAAAGATAAGAAAGTCGCGGCTATTTATGGCTTGCTAACCTTTCATGAACCTGTAAATACACACAAATTATTGTACCTTACTCGTATGTTGGATTAAAAACTGTTTCAACTAGCTCTCCTATTACCTAACCCCAAACTAATTAGAACTTACTTCGGGGACAAGATAACACACGGCCACACTGTTAACTATCCATTTCTGTTTTTGCTTTCGCTCTCATCAAATGGTGATTCTTTGCGATAGAACGAGATGACATGACTGGCAATGGGCAGTTAACACTGTTGCCGATAGTACGTGCAAGCGCAAGCCCACTTTATTATCATCTGCACTCTTAGGATGAAATTGAGATTGATATTATCATAAAAGAAAATGTTAATTAATGGTGGGCTCAATGCTTGCTGATCACTTTTACATTTGCCAGTAAAATTCAAGCTTTATTTACAGCAGCAATTTCTTATTTTGAATTTAACATTTTTCATTTCAAACATTAAATCATACAGCATTTTTCGGTTTCCCATCAACTTCGCAAACAAAACCCTACAAACTTTCCATTGAAAGTTTTGGAAAGGTCATATGTAAGAAAGAATAAGAAAAACTTTATTTGACACAAAAAGGGAAAAATAAAAAAACAGAACAAAGGGACTTAAAACTATACACGCATATTTTGTGCCAAAAAGGCGCCCGCTCAGCATTAATCGAGCCACGCGTGCATGCACGCGTGCCCCGACGCTGGTTTTCAGCGGGTCATGTCGTCGGGTCGTCGTCATGTCGTCGGGTTATGTCAGCGTATAAATAACAATGCCTACAGGAAAATTAGTTTACCGGCTCCTAGTGAAGCATGGAAAATTACGGCACTTTCACGTTTTTGGCTTTGCTAGAGCCGGCGCGGTTTAACGAGTATTATTATCCTCGTCTGGTTCACGTGATGCCTGATATCCAGCGTAACGTGAGCGATAGTTATCTCGTCCCCGTCGTAGCCCAGCGATACTGTGCTAGCTGCTGCTTATCTTTCTTATCTGTTTGTCACACGATGCGAACAGAGTGCACTAATCGATCGTTTTCAGCAAACAGTGTTATTAATAGCTTAACAAAATATTTACAAGTAAGCTTTGTGATAATAAATATTTGTTAATTGATAAAAAATCAAATAAAGTGTTTTATTCACTTTATTTGATTAAGTACAGTCGACAATATACCAGTCTCTACATTTTGGTCGTAAAATCGCACTTCTTACAAGTACATTATATTTTAATGCGACAGCGTGCAGTAAATATTTATGATATAGATTTAAAATTAACAAAATAATATGTGAATTAAACATGTAATGCATATAAAAGTGAGTTACTATTTGTGACATAAATCCTGGTTACCCTACACTCGGGCACGTGTTTCAAACGCACGGTAGACAGACACCTAATATGGATACGTGCATATATCAAGATTCGAGACTTGATACACGTACGTTAAGGGACACAGACAAAAACTTTTTACGTTTTTTCAAGGTTTTAACTCGAATGTTACTAAAACAAAAAGAAAAATCTTTTGAATATTATTTTTCTGCCTGCTTTTAGGCGCAGACTAGGGCTTGAATACCGGAATTTCGTAACTCCGGAATTTCGGATAAATTTTTTCCGATATTTCAATTCCGGAACTGAAGCCAATATCGTATTCCAATATTGAAATTTTTCATAAATTATTTTAAGTTTTCAAAACGTTTAAGTGTCAAAATAGGTTCTTAGATAAGGAAGTCCTTGAGATATGTATTCGCAACTTTATTAGTAATTATATTAAGAGGCAATAGGGCGAGACCAAAGCCCCAAAATGTTCGCTAGAGACAACTCTAATGGGCGAAGCCAGCTGAAGAGAGCGGATGATAGAGTAAAACCTGTTAATAGCTCAGCCACAGGACAGCCACTCGACACTATACCGAAGATTAGCCGGACATCAGCCCTTACGTGATTAGGATGGCTCTCAAACAGCTAAAGAACAACAAGTCACGGGTGATGACGGAATAACCTCGGAGCTTCTGAACGCGGCAGGTAATAAGCCGATAATGAAAGTCCTTCATAAACTGTAACTCCGTCTTACTCCAGGGAATAATGCCAGAGGCACGGAACAAATGCTTGGTGGTGTTTTTCTTTAAGAAAGGGGTAAAAGCCTTATTAAGGAATTACAGACCCATCTGGGTTCTGACTCTGAGTCATGTCTACAAGCTGTTTTTGAGAGCCATCACGAATAGTCTCGCGCGTAGGTTCGATGACTTATAGTCTCTCGAGGAAGCCAGTTATCGAAACGTTTACACTACCATATACCGCATCTACAGGGTGTTAGGTAAATGGGTATATGAGCCGACACTAGCCCATGTTAACATGGGCATATAAATGGTATGGTGAAGTCAGAAATTTGATATCTTCATTTTAATTATTTTAATTTTCATACAAATCGGATTTTATAAAATTTATTTTATATGAAAATTAAAAAAATTAAAATGATATCAAATTTCTGGCTTCACCATACCATTTATATGCCCATGTTAACATGGGCTAGTGTCGGCTCATATACCCATTTACCTAACACCCTGTATACGCTACGGCAGGTTATACAGAAGACCGAAGAGTCTAACTTGCCTATATGCTTGGCGTTCTTAGACTATGAGAAGGTCTTTGAGCCTGACTGAACACGAGGGCGATTCCTCTGCGATTCTTCTGCAGCGAGCTGTGAGGCAGGGAGATGTAATAATACGTCGAATTCAACTCGGCTGGGCAGCGTTCGGGAAACTACATAACATCTTTTCGACCAAAACACTTCAGTGCCTAAAGACGAAAGTCTACAATCAGTGTGTGTTACCAGTAGTGATGGCACACGGTTTGGAAACGTGGCCTCTTACTATAAGGCCTTATAATAAGCTCAAAGTTGCACACCATGGTATGGAGAGTGCTATGCTCGGTGTTTCTTTTCGAGATCGAACCAGAAATGAGGAGATTCATAAACGAACTAAAGTTGCTTGACATATAGCGATCGGATTACCAAGCTAAAGAAAAAGTGGCAATGGGCAGGGCACATAGTACGTAGAACAGACGGCCGATGGGGCAAGGTTCTAAAGTGGAGGCCACATACGTGTACGTGTTTGTCGGGAGGCGCTTTCTTTTTTTAACCAACTCCGGAACTAGAACCGGAATTCCGGAGTTGAGTGCCCAATATCGGAAATCAGTTCCGGAGTTGAAAACTATCCGATATTGCAAGCCCTAGCGCAGACCTTATTTAGATCTTTAGAATTGCGCAATGGATGTTGATACGGTTTAATAGATAGAGTGACTCGAGAAAGGTTTTACTTACTATAGGTATAAAACATGCATAATAAACAAAAGAAAAACCGGGAAATTCCATTGCAACCGTGCGAAGCCGGGGCGGGCCGCTAGTACCTACTAGATAAAGTCTTATAATCAATATGAAAATATTTTTATTCATGAATAAATAAATAAAGCCTTGATCATTGATTTTTAAATCAATTCTATGATAACCATTAGGTATAAAAAACTAAGTTAAGTATATGATAATTTAAATCATCCAGGCAGTTAACTGAATATATCACATAGCTGAACATTTGAATTTTAAAGTTTTTTTTTATTTTGATCCACGCCACGTGTCGTTGATTGCCAGGGAAAAATACCTGTAAAATGTGTAGATCTAGATACCTACCTACATAAGCGTAAACATTCATGCACTGTGACACTGTAAACTGACGCCAACATGAAATGTGAAGATGATATTGCATTTTGTTTCATTTGTCAAATAAACAAAGTCAAAACTTACGTCTTAGAATTCGATAATACAAAATGTCTATCGAATTAGGCATTTTTCTAAATTCAAATTGGGTAGCTGCTAACATAAAAATATTTTTGATCATAAGTATTCACAGAACTCTTCCCAGCTACTGATAAAATAGAATGGAAGGAAGACCAAATTAATAAAGTTTATTTTACAACATGCCTTGTATGCTTCATATTCTAAAAATAACTCTTAATTACTGAGCTCAAAGAGTGACACCAAAACTATTTCTGTCCATACTTTTCGCGATAAATTAGATTAACAAGAGCATTGTTAACTAATTACAGTGCCTATTTATATTCGCAAAAAAATTATAAATTCAAAAAGTGCATGAATATTAATCTATAGTCTATACTATCTATACTAATCTAAGATGTTTTTATAGTATAGATACGTTATACATACCCGCTCAAGAATGGCAATGCAAAAGAGATACAATTGTACCTCTTGCATTCAGTCGTACATGATCGGTTGCCGCGAACAGCCACGAATGCACTTCCCGATTGCCTTCCTGATTGATTGATAATATGCCTTCGTGTGTTTTTAGTCGATGTACAAATTACACTCCCACTATTATGAACCAGAAAAATGTGTCATTTCATTCGTAAATACAGTTTAATTAGTAAAAAATTAAATTTTAATTTTTATTCAATTTGACAAGGGTTGACGGTTGAATTTGACATTTGAGCTAAAATCTAGAGACCACTGCCAGGGGAAGTTGGGGCGAACATCTATCAATTAAGAACTCTGCATTTAACTCACGGAATAATTGTTTTTCTCTAGAAAAGAATATTATTATAATTATGTATTCCTGTGTTGAGACGTATTCATCCGAAATCGATAAAATCAATGCTATGGCTATTATTACTGTATGATTATAATGATTTATGATCAAACGAAAAAGACTTACTCGAGGAACAAAATTATAGCAGAAACGAATAATATTAATTATTTATTATTTTTATTTATCCTTGGACATTATTACAATACGCTTCTAGTCCCAAACAAATTTGATGTAGATACCTGTATAAATTTACAGTCTGCTAAATCAAAACTGTGGTTAATATGAAAAATATGGGCGGACTATGTTTTCCTATCGAGGATTATATTTCAAAGCCTACAGTCAGAAATGCTACTTCCCGATCCCAAAAAGATTGCAATTTGTATAAATAATCGAATTTTAATGTCTTTTTAGGGTTCCGTAGCCAAATTGCAAAAACGGGACCCTTATAGGTTCGTCATGTCTGTCTGTCTGTCTGTAGCTAGCTAGAGAATATTCCACTTTTAATCTCAGGGTAAAACCTCATACATTTTGCACATAAAAATAATCCGGATTTGAAAACTCATTATAAAAGACAAAAAAGGCATAAGACTCAAGTTGATTTAAG